ACTCACCTTGAGCTGAAGAGCTGAGGGACAGCACCCAGGCCCAGAGTTCAAGCTCCACAACCAACAACAAAAAAAAGAATAGTAAGAAGTGGCAAGAAACATCTGTTATTAGGGTATTTGTATTTTCTCTAAAGTTTACATCTAACATTTTTAAAAAAAGTTTGGTTTTAAAGAAGTTTCTTAATTATCTGTATGCTAGCCTAATAATTGATGTATAACTTTTATTTTCATATCATAAAAATATATTATACCTTAATGTAAACTAAATAGTGTATATTTTGGACATTTATTGAGAATTTTGTCTTTAAAACCTAGAGCAATGGAACTATTAAGGGTAAAAGGTCAAAGATCCTGGTCTGTTGGACTGTCAGTGGCTGACCTGGTTGACAGCATTGTGAACAATAAAAAGAAAGTACACTCTGTGTCAGTTTTCGCAAAGGTAACAGTTACTCTCACTCTTGTATTCTGACCTTTTCTATTAATAATGTAAAACCAGCAAATGTGCTATTCAAACTCTTATCTAGGTATCTTTAGTATCATTATCCTGTTATCTATGGAAATTCTAGACTTCTGCTCAGTTTCTCTCTCACTTCATAATTTTCAAGATTCCTCAAGAGGTGTTTATATGGGGGCTGGGAAGTTGGCTCAGTGGTAGAGCGCTTGCCTTGCATGTCTGAGGCCCTGGGTTCGATTCCTCAGCACCACATAAGAAAAAAGCCGGAAGTGGTGCTGTAGCTCAAGTGGTAGAGCACTAGCCTTGAACTGAAGAGCTGAGGGACAGCGCCCAGGCCCAGAGTTCAGGCCCCACGACCGGACCCAAAAAAAAAAAAAGAAGTGTTTACATGACCTGAACTTCTGGTTGTCTTTTGTCACTTTAGCCTACAAACTCACCCTGATTGATGTGCTAGCTGGCCTAAGCTGGTTATTAGTCTACTCCAGTTTATTTTTGTCACATTATTCAGGATATAAATTCTGTAAAGGACATCTAAAATGAGGTACAAATGTTTAGTCAAATATTTTTGTAAATTTAGAATTTTCCAGCACGGAAATACAATGTGGAAAGAAAAGTTATTATATTTGTCAGGTACTGGTAGCTTATACCTGTAAGCCTAGCTTTTAACTCAGGAAGCTGAGATCTGAGAATTGGGGTTCAAAGCCAGCCTTGGCAGGAAAGTTCACAAGACTTTTAATTCCAGTTAACCATCAAAAAGCCAGAAGTGGAGTTGTGGCTCAAGTAGTAGAGAATTAGCCTCTAGCAAAAAGACTAAGGGGCAGCTCTCAGCCTCTGAGTTCAAGCCCCAGGACTGGCACAATAGCAACAAAAAAGTTACCGTATTTGACTATCCAGAACACCTACTCTGCCCACTCCCCAAGAAATTCTGACCACTTATTTTTCTTAGCTCTCAACCTGCTTTTAACGCACATTGCAGACAGCCTGCTTACCTACCTATAAAGGGAATACCTTGACCAAGTTCTTCCCATGTCTCAAAAATTTTCTGAAGTTATTATTTGAGTTTAAGAAATAAGTAAGTAGATGGGCACCCATGGTTCATGCCTGTAATCCTAGCTACTCAGAACGCTGAGATCTAAAGATTGCAATTCAAAGACAGACTGGGCTGGAAAGTCCATGAGACTCTTATCTTCAGTTAACTTCCAGAAAACCAGAAGTGGTACTGTGGTTCATAGTGGTAGAGACAAAAAGCTCAGGGATAGCTCCCAGGCACTGAGTTCAAACCCCATGACCAACTGAAAAAAAACAATTGGTAAACCAGGCCCTGAGTTCAAGCCCCATGACCAACTGAAAAAAAAAAAATTGGTAAATAAAGTTAGACATGGTAGTACATAACTATGAATCTTGTGATGAGAGCCTAAGGCAAGAGAATCTCAGATCCAATGCCAGCTTCATAATGAGTTTAAGGCCAGCCTGGATTACATAGCAAGACTGTTTAAATGTATGAAATGAATGGTGAAAATTATATTGTATTACTTTTTAGAATGATTAATCTATTATAATCCCTACTCTTTTCATCTCAGGGATATTACGATATACATAGTGAAGTGTTTTTAAGTCTGCCTTGCATCCTTGGAGCCACTGGCGTATCTGAAGTGATCAGAAACACAGTGAAAGAAGACACAGTAGCTGAGAAACTGCAAAGCAGTGCATCCACAATCCATGGTCTCCAACAACAGTTAAAACTTTGATTCTCAAGTATAGTTACCTAAGGAAGAAAGGTCATTTAATTTTGCCAGCACAGATAAGTTTGAGAAATTCTGTATCTTTACTTATCCTTGCTTGGTTAAAATAGACGGTTTCTTGGTAGCTTTCTAATTTGAGTCTTTAAAAAGTTCAAGTTAAAAATCTAATTTCCTTTTGGATTCTTTTTTTTTTTTTTTTTTTGTCGGTCATGGGGCTTGAACTCTGGGCCTGAGCGCTGTCCCTCAGCTCTTCAGCTCAAGGCAAGTGCTCTACTACTTGAGCCACAGTGCCACTTCCAGTTTTCTAGTGGTTTATTGGAGATAAGAGTCTCACAGACTTTTCTGCCTGGGCTGGCTTTGAACCATGATCCTCAGATATCAGCCTCCTGAGTAGCTAGGATTACAGTGAGCCACCGGCACCCGGCGCTTTGGGGTTCTTGATGTAACAATTCTGTTCTTTAAACCTACAACAGAGATTACTATTATTCTTCAGTGTACATAATTTTGAATTGTATATCCTAAACTCAAGCACATTTAGCACTTTGGAAATACCTTGTAAGAAATAAATTTTAAACAACTGCTCTTTGACATTTATAATAAACATAAAGCAGAAAGGTCAGAATGGGCCTTACTTATAAAATCAAGACTAGGTACACATTCCAAATATTCACAGCTTATGGTATTAGTTTTTTTGTTTTTTTTTTTTTTTTGCAGAATCCAGTTGGCAAAGTGTTTTATTTTTCACTCTTCAAATGATTCATTAACTACCAAAAGCTAGAAAAGAGAGACTAGCAGAGTGACTCAAATGGTAGAGCAAACTTGCTCAGCAAGCATAAAGCTCTGAGGTTAAACCCCAGTACATCTAAAAACAAAAATTTATCAAAAATAATTTATTATTATTATTATTTATACTGGGGCTTGAACGTCAGGACTTTGACCTCTCCCTTAGCTTTTTCTGATCACAGCTGACACTTTACCTCTTGGGCCATAACTTTATTCCCTTCTTTTGTCTGCCGGGCTGGCTTTGAATAATGATCCCATTTCTCAGTACCCTGAGTACTATGATCATAGATGTCAGCCCCTGGTGCTTAGAAAAGAATCTTATATTTACTTTTAAATAATTAAAGGCTCTGTATATCTATTTAAATAGTAAAATAATAAAAATACAAAGTTTTAAATTTAAAATACTAAAAATACATTTCAACATATAAAGAAAACATTACATACAATTTAATTTCTAGTGGAATTATTTTTCTGAAATGTTATATTACATCTTCCTAGGATGTTTAAGATTTCCATGTCACAAACTATGGTATTAGTAAAAGCATAGAGAAATGTATATTTTAATGGACAAATAAATAACAAACCATTTATTAGGTCAAAATATGAAGTTTTCATGAAAAGCCATTGGTATTAAGGGAAAAGAGGTTGAATGGACTGGTGTTTCTGAACAAATCTTTTAATCATTGCAGAAGAAATCACTTAGCATACATATACTTTACTGGTAGGACAATAATATTTTTGTATGTGAAAGATACCATGTTGGTACTGTTGTGATACACAACTATTTTAGCAGCTAAATCAGTAATTTTCTGTGCCAGGCATTGTGATTAGTGGTTTATTTATTGTAGCCTCAAAATAATCCACTGAGGAAGGCACTATTACCATCATTACTTTATTAAGTAGAATGTTGAGGTTTAGTAACTACAATCTTATGGCTTTTAAAGGACACTACATATCCATACAACCTCAACTTTGTAGACACCAAAAAGGGGAAAAAGTCCTAACAGCCAATGATCATCACAAGACCCAAAAGTTGGGGATTTGAGTACTATGAAAGTTTCATTCTCTGTAGTAACTTTTTTTTTTTAATTTTAATTTTTTGCCAGTCTTGGGGCTTGAACTCTTGGCCTGGGTGCTGTTCCTGAGCTCTCTTTTATTCAAGGCCAGTGCTCTACCACTTGAGCCACAGTGCTACTTCCAGCTTTTTTGAGTAGTTTATTGGAGATAGTTTCATGGACTTTCCTGCCCAGGCTGGCTTTTAACTGCAATCCTCAGATCCTGGCCTTCTGAGTAGTTAGGACCACAGGTGTAACAGCACGTGGCATATATAGTGGCTTACTTTAAAAAAAAAAAAAGTGTTTGGAAAGATTCTCTGTCTTATGGGATATATCCTCAGCAAATAGTGGATGGGATATATACTGACGCCAATGTTTATTTGTAATCATTTAGCTAATACTTAATAGGAGTTATTACAAAGCAGGTACAAATGATGAACGTGTCTGGACTAGATACAAACCCTCTGGTGCTTATAAGCTAGTATAAGAAAGAAAAATAGACTGTGAGAAACACAGTCATCAAATTTCACAAATAAATGTACAGCTGCAAATATAGTAAGTACTGTGAAGAAGTCCAACATGTTTTAGAGGCATACAATAAGTAAATCCAAATCTGGCCATGATAATAGAAGCCAAATGGGTTGTCAATGACACATGTATCCTAGGTAGAAAGGAAATAATCTAATGTTTACTTAGTAGTAGATAGTGATAATGGTGATCAGCAGATGGAATTTCATATACCTTGTTTAAGAAAGCTGAAAATTAATAGCTTGGAAAGGTTCCCAGATTTAACTGGATAAAGACCATACACATTTGTGCCCAGTGTATATAAATAAGGATAGCGCACCTGCCTAACATGCCCAAAGCCTTGGGTTTGTTCCCAGCACTGGAAGAAAAAAAAAAAGACAAATGGTAGTTAGAAATTGGATACATTCTTAAATCTGATTTCTAATGAACAATTGCAAAATAGTTACAATAGACTTGCCAAAAATTGATTATCTGAATGGAACATTTCAATACAGTATATTTCTTGAACACCTACTGTTTCTCCAAGTATTGTGTTAGAATTTGAATATTTGAAGATGAGTAATAGTCCTCACTCTCTGGAAGGCCAAGAAATAGAAGCAATACTCTGTATCAGACATATGCTTAAGTACATTAACAATTATGTTGCAAGTTCACTGTGATAAGGAAGTGACCATTGCCACCATCAGTTAACTTTTTCCCAAAATCATGCAGTGCCTCTTATGATTTTTAGTGGGACTTGGGTTAAAATGTTTCTCTGAAACTACAGAAGATATATATTTTTATTTTGCAATTTGCATTGTTTTCTTTAAATGTCAAGAATAAACTTGATTTAAAAATGACCTAATGATGCCTGATTTCTTTAGTGTTTTCGTATGATTCACACAGCACTCAGAACATTTAATTATTTCATTTTAAGCAGCCTGTATACAAAATGAAAAGACCAGCTTTTATCACTTTTTTTCCCCATGAATGTATGACCCTTTTTCCTTCGCCTCCCCCGTTAATAGGATTACAAACATATGCTATTATGCCTGGCTAAGAAAACTTTATAAGAAATCTATTACTTAGCACTCCTCCAATTCACAAAAGCAGAACTGCAGTAATTGAAGGTACTTATAAGTATGCTGTGGCTTTAAGAACATTTTGAAAACCATGTTTTGTTTTGTTTTGGGGGGGGGAGTTGCTGTTGTGGGGCCTGAACTCTGGGCCTGAGTGCTGTCCCTCAGCTCTTTAGTTCAAGGCTAGCGCTCTACCACTTGAGTCACAGCGCCACTTCCGGCTTTTTTCTTTTTTGCTTATGTGGTGCTGAGGAATCGAACCCAGGGCCTCCGGCATGCAAGGCAAGTGCTCTACCGCTGAGCCAACTTCCCAGCCCCGAAAACCATGTTTTTAAGCAGGCAAAAAACTGCAGGGGCCAGGCGTTGGTGGCTCATGCCTGTAATTAATCCTAGCTACTCAGGAGGCTGATAACTGAGAATCGCTGTTCAAAGCCAGCCTAGGCAGAAAAGTCCGTGAGACATTGATCTCCAATTAACCACCAGAAAACCGGAAGTAATGCTGTGGCTCTGGTGGTGGAGCGCTATCCTTGAGCTGAAAAGCTCAGGGACAGCACCCAGACCTAGAGTTCAAGCCCCATGACTGACAAAAAACAAAAACAAAAAAAAAGCACTGCAAGGGCAGTAGACTAATCTTTTGTTTTAACTAACAGATTAGAAATAACTTTATAGAATTAACTTATCTAATGATGATACCTGTTGGGTTAGCCTGTGTGTGTGTATTTATGATTAGTCTTCTATATGCTTTTAATTAGGGCCCTTCGTGTATATGACCTCCACTTAGATGCTAACTTCTAAGAGAATCAGTGCCATAGCCTTATTCTCACTAGAGCTATAATCCATTCACATCATCAAACCTAAGACTAATCACGTAGTGAGCCTTTACTTGAACGGGAATTTCACTTACGTACTGTACGAAGGCAATGAAGATAGGAAAAAAAGGTTGTCTTCAAGGACCTGTCTTGGAAGGTGGTCAGGCTAGGACACAGATAGAAGGCAACGTAGAATGCAGCCTGCCTGTTTTTGTATCTGGGCACACACATGTGTTTTGAGGAAAAGGTTATCTTGGAGAAGACATAGGGCTTGGCATCCTGAGAAAAGCTTCCAACCCTTTGCCCTTGCCAACGTAGGATGTTAAGACTTTCAAACTCGAAAGACAAATCTGATCATCAGAGAACGCTTGCGCATGATCTAATGCAGATCCTGTTAGAACTGGGAAACACTTCAGTCCGCACTACAAGTGCAGTTGCCCATGTCATTGTCCCTAGGACAAGTCCGTGCGAACAGCCCCGCCGGCCCAGCTGCTTCACGTGAACGAAGGCTCTCCAGAAAGCCCCGCCGGCTTCCCCTACACCTGCCCCTCTTACCCGGCCCAGAATCCCGCTCCTTAGAACCAGCCTGCCCTACGCTTTAGGCTCCACTCTGATTTGCCAGCTAGCCGCAGGACAGGAGCGGACGGGGGTCCGAACACCCACCAAGCCCCGCTCGTCCCGCTGCGTTCGGTTACCACCCATCTCGGCCGGACCTCGGGCCCGGAAGTGACGTAAGGGAAGCGGAAGTGCCGCGATGGTGCTGACTTCCTGTTGTGAGAGGTGGGGGGTGGGGGGCAGGCCGCTCGGCTGGCGATTGTCTGGGGCGGCCTGGGACGGCCCCGCAGCGGCTGACCCTCTGCCTGCGGGGACGGGAGTCGTGAGGAGGCCGTCATGGCGGTGTCAGAGAGCCAGCTCAAGAAAATGGTGTCCAAGGTGAGGC